CTGCTCACAGGCCTGATTGTGCTGTGGGGCTGAAATTCAGAGAAGGGTGAGTCCAAACCCACGTATGCATCCCCCTCCCCCTGTTTTTGTAATTGCAGTGCAGACACAGAGCTCAGTAGCCTTGCATGTAGCAGCTCTTGAAGAGCGTTTTAGTGAAGAAACGGATTCTTCAGCCACCTTCAGGAGGGAAATGTCAGTCTGACAACCCCTTCGTGAGCTGCACAGACCAGCCTCTCTAAGAGGGGGTCAGAAAACAAGAGTGAAGAGTGACGAGGGGGAAAGGCAGAGGAGAACCGCAGGTGCCGAAGCAATGGGGACGTGGGGAAGATCTGGCCTGATGGCGATGCAGTGTGCTGGCAGCATGACACACAGAGGAGCACTGATTGAGGAGAGCTGCAGGATGGCTGGAAGGTAAATAAACAAAGCGATTAAGCTTGTCCTGCAGGACAAAGGACTGCACATGGCAACTCTCTCAGTCTGACTGCCAAGATACTAAAAATGGACTCTCATGTGTGCTAAGCAGGGAGTCTAGCTGATGAAAGTATCAGTTCCTGCGGCTTGTACTGGTCCCTTGCTTCAAAACCAGCAAAGGTTACAAGTCCTGCAGAGACAAATGACACAAAGAAAAGAGAGATGCTCTGAAGGACGAAAGCGTGTAGCTCCTTTCAGCCCAGTGGCCCCCAGCTGCCGCGGCTGGGCACAATGGGGGTGGCAGGCAGGTCTGGGAAGCAGCACAGCCCTCGGCGTGGGGTCGCTGGTGGCTGCACCTCGTCGCGCTGCCGCTGACTCGCACAGACGTGCACGGGATAACCTCCAAAGAGCAGAGCTGGGGCTGCAGATGCCTCTCAGCGCTGGGACCTGTCAAACCTGAGAGCTGCAGTCAGCCAGAGGTCTTGCTCTCCGGCGAGGCGGCTCTCCCAGGTCCCTGACAGGCCGCTTCCCGGCGCGTCTGACGGGCGCAGAGCCTTGCTCAGGGTGCTGGTGCCAGGGGAAGGGATGAGGGTCACGGAGGAGAGCGCAGCTGGCAGCAGCATGGATGTGGGCTGCGGGGAACCAGGGGGCTTGCACACCCCTCTGGCGTTATGCAGAGCTTCCCAGCTCGAAGAAGCCTTTGTTTGCCGTGTTGGCAAAACCTGGGAGGTGCCTTGGGAAGGGGTAAGTGTCGCCCAGGGCCGGGAGGCCGGCGCAGGCGGTGGCAGCCGGGCTCCTCTCCCTCGCAGCCCGCCGTGTCCCTGGCAGAATCCCGAGTGGCCTCCGTACTTGTGTGAGGCCAAAAATACTCAGCGGCAGTGACACATTCCCACTGTGCTGGGAGAGCGGTTGACAGGGGGTTCGTGTGAGGGGATGACGCTTCCTCCCACCTCCCCTGCCCGCTGTTTTAGCAGTGCACAATGGGGTGGCACTAGAGGATGATGCTTTTCATCCCCTGCGTCAGGGATTCGCAGATCCCATCTACCTTATGGGTGCTCCTCATGCACTGGCCACCACAGCCCCCCCATGTCCCCCCACGGGACTCCCCTCCAGCTGCCCCCAAGGCCCTGCCCTCTGCCAGCTCTGGAGAGAAGCGGTGAGCTTCTGGTGTTGGACAAGTCCCCACGGACAGAACATGCTGTCCCAGTCTGGATGCTTTCAATCACACCACGGGGTTAGGAGGCCCCCTCAGACTTTTTCTCCTTGTGTAGGAACATCCCACAGTGCCTCATCTTTCTGTGTTTGGCCCCAGATGACCTCTGAAGAGCAGAGTGTGGCATTTCAGAATCCCAGATGCTTTTAGGGGAAATGATGTGTTGTATAAAGCAGCATTTGAATTTTTTTATCTGATGTGCCTTAATCCACGTGGCATCAGACTCATGCTGAATTATGACAAGAATCAGACACCCATGGTGCTGAGCTGTGATGCTATGCAGCATACGGGAATAACTTGCACGTGGATGGACAGGAGAAATCTTGACAAGGATTCAAAAGGGAACAATTACTCCTGAAATTCCAGGCCAGATGAGAATTTCCTAGTCCACCCATAGAAGGTGCTGCCTAGGGCTGGCTGTTGCCTACTATTTATGGAAGGATGGCATGGTTTAAGTCCCCAAAGATGAGAGAGGGAAGCCCAGTTTAGTATTTCTGCTGACAGATAGCAATATTCAGGGATCAATACCAATGTCACAGAGAGTGTCCTCTGCCACATGAGATGTTCCAGGGTATCTTCTTGTGTCCCCAGATGGGAATGCACTGGTAAATCCAGTGTCATCGCTGTCAATCCCGTGTGGATGACCTGGGCACTTTTGACCATCTCAAACAGCATTAGATTCCTTCATGTGCAACTCATTTGAGCCCCCAGCCTGCAAATTGCTCCCTAAATTCTGCCCACTAACATTCACCCTCAGCATGGGGTGAATCCACAGTTTCCTATTGCAAATGCAAGAGGGCAACCACACTGACACTTGTGGCAATAGCCATAAATTCACATTAAAAGGCTTCAAGTAATAGCATTGCTGTGTAAAGAGAGCCTTTGAAAAGCTTGCTTCCAAATGCTTAGCAGCAGGATTAGAAGGTTGCTGGCTCTTAGCTGCGAGCTTTGCAGATGCTAGGGGCTGGCAAAGCAAAATCTGTATCACATGAAAAAGTTGATCAGGTCTGACTCTCTCCTGCCGTGAGATTACTTTTCTCACTACAAAGCATTTCTCCTCACCAGTAAGTTCAAAGTACGTATGGGCATGAAGATAGCGTATTGTTCACCAGCCCACTGTTCTGCTGAGCAGCCGCCTCGCTTGTTCTCCATCTCAGGTTATAAACAGTGTTGAGAAGCTGCAAAATTGCTCCCAGCTTAAATGACAAAATCATGATAACCTAGCCTATCTTACCCTACTGTGAGCTTGACTTTAATAATCCTGCTTAATCATTAAACCACAATAAGAGCAAGCCAAGGAGTTTAAGGCAAGAGCCAAGCCAAGGCATATCAGAGCACTCACTGCTCAAAACTTGAACTGAGCACAGTCAGCTAGAGACAGAGAAAGCCGCATAAAGGGATAGCAAAGCTGTTGTGCAAAGGGTCAGAAAGATGCGGCAGAAAATTCCTATCTGTTGGATTGGCTGAAGAAGCCAGAGCCAGCTGTGAGCAGCTCCTGCTAGTCAGGAGTCTGCAGTGGTGCCCTATTTACATCCTTTTCCCAGGAGACCAGGTTGTTATCTAGCACACACACTCCATTCAAGCCTTGCTGTTCACATAGATGCTTTGACTAAACCCTCATGCCTGATGATTATTGAGTCTAACAATGGTCGCTGGTTATCTTCCAGAATGCTTTACCCTCCACTGAAGGGTACAAAGACAGCAAATGGACACACCTATTCTTTGCCCACCATGCTGTGTATTATCTTAGGGCAAACTGATTTTTTCTAAGGATGTTTCATTCAGAGGTGAGGTTATTTTTTTTTTTTTTTTTTTTTAAAAAAAGGAGAAGCGGGAAAGGAGATAAAATTAAAAAATAAAACTTGAGAAGACACACTGCTTCTGTCACTCAGCTGGAGACACTGAGAACAGGGTTAGGCCAAGCCCTGCCAATGGAAGCATCAAGGACTCGGACTGAATCCATCACGATTATTCACGTACGCATGTGTGCATGACAGACAGAACAGATTTGGTCCTTATTGCTTTGACTTTTCCAGGATGCTCAATTTATTTGTGCATTTTAGGAAACAGAGCAGTACAATCAGATGTTCTGTACCTGGGTTTCCCTTCCCCCACCCTAGAACAGAAATAATTATAGGCTAAAAGCATCACCCATGCCAGAAGATGAGAGAGCCAAATCCTTTCCAAGGTAAAGAACTCACCAAAATCACCGCGGTTTCACCTGAGTCAGGACTAACTGAAGAACTTCACCACAGTCTGTGACAATTTGCTGAAGAGACAATGAGTCCATTTTGTATTTTCAGACCAAAACAATAGACTGGATGGGGGTATGCTCTTGCCTCAGCTTCCTTGAAAGCGGGGAGTGATAGCATTGGTATTGCTGAGATCATTCCAGAATTTGGGTTACCGTGCAGAAAACCGACTCATGCTTTGCAGTCCAAAATGGGGCATATTTTGTCTTCATTGTCTTGCTACCACCTCTTGTAGGATTTGACTGCAGCATGGAAGCATCCTGATATAACTTTACAGTGCATCATGTTGTTGTTACTGTAGTAACTTATTACTAGGACACCTTGTGTTATCTTTATTGCTGCAGTACCTGGTACAAATGTACCACCATTTGTCCGCACACACCGTTATTACTGTCTTATTCCCCAAACTAATTTACTGCAGCGTCCTGTTGTGTCTTATTGCTGCATTATCAAAATGCTACTTTACTGCAGTGGCCTGTGTTACCTTATTGCTACATTTATCCTGGTATTATTATGTCAGCTTACTGCCACTTTTTATGGCTGCCCTGCTACCATTTTATTACAGTACTCTATGGGATCTTAGCGCTGAGTTATACTGAGAGTACATTAATCCATTTGCTTTAGCCTAACGCTGTCTGCACAGGCTTGTCGAACCTTTCTAGAGCTTGCCCTGCTGCCGTTTCGCCACAAATACTCTGGATACTCTATTATCCAAGTAACAGTGTACAGCCGTATTTCACAGCCATAGCCCTGTAAGCATGGGAAGCTTTGTAGCTAGCTTGCACAGCATGGACATCATAAAAGCTTTACAGACTGCCTTTCTTTGAAACAATGCCATTTAGAACATAAATAGAGGTGGAAAGCTGATTTCCTACCTCATCTTCAGGACGATGAGGTAGTTGGAAGACATGGGACGCTTATAAAGCAGCAGATTACTGCCTGCAACACTCAGCGGGATACCGGTGAGTGTACAAGAGTGGCATCACTTGGAATAAGCAATGATGTCATTAAAAAGCAAAAATTCAATGATGTGGTTCATGTGGAAGTAGCTACATGTTAGTATCATCATACGTGAAGTAAAAGACATGTGATGAGCAGGTCATACATGTTCCCAGGAGGAGGCCTTGTCTACTCTCATGTTTGTTTTAGAGAAATTTGTCAGGAAATGAGGAGCAGAGCTTTCTTCTCTCCAGAGAATAGGCAGCTCTGTCCGCTCAGCTAGCCATTACTGAGCAGATTAGCTAGCAGGAGTGTGCATTTAAATGGCAAGCTGTTCAGCATCCAGGCCCCCTGATGTACGCCCATATGCATGCTCTCTGTGTCTGTAAAAATTCCTTCCATGCACTCAACTGTTCAAACACAGCATATTCCCCACAGGCAAAACACTGCGGCGGCCAAGACGACGATGGTCCTGCAGGGACGGAGCAGGAAAGCCAGAGCAGGGCGCTTTGCTCACGGGGCAGCAGCACATCTCCAAGTTAAAGCCTGGCATTGCCGCTCCCTGCACAGACCATAACCCAAATTCCACCTGTCCTGTGCACCCACCAGCATCCTCCAGTCCTGCCCACATGTGCCTTTATGCTGCAGGACACTGAGGAGTAGCTCCATGGAGCTACCCCATCCTTCCCCCAGGAGGAGACCTGTCCAGTGTCAGGAACTCACTCAAAGCAGAGACCCAGACCCCCCCGGCAGCACTTCCTCATCGCTGCATCTTGCTACAAACCAGAGTTTCATGCTTTATGCATGCATCCCGTTCAGGAACGCTCTGCACAGCAGTTTGCGGGTTCACAGGACAGACCTCCTGTGGGAAATGCCTCAGCCTAGAGGCTGGCTAGCCCTGGCAGTAGAGTAGCTTGGGGTGTGAGCAGCTGTGGGTTTACAGAGCTGCAGTGACGCATGGCAATGGTGGGTTTGACACAGATAAAAACACCATCAATGAGGCTCTGAGAAGAGCCAGCCTTTTCATTTTCCTAGCGACAATGTCAGGGGACACGTACGAATGTGCATGAGTAGACAACCAGGCCTGGTACGCAAAGACCCACTATTACCCGAGGGGACCCTCTGGCTGGGTGAGCAATAGAGGACAAACGGGTCCTGCAAGGACAGATGCATGACAGTTTGGAGGGGATCTAATGCCCCCCCTTCAGCGGCAGGACACCACATGAACACACAGGCACAGCCACGATGGTTCTGCAGCCCTGGAACTCACTTGCGTGTCATGTATGTGTAGGACGGACTTGGTCTGAAGACAGACAGCAGGCTGTTCATGGGAACAGGCCCGTGTAAAGGAAAAATATCATACTTGGTATTCTACTGTACATTCATGCAGGTGTAGAGTTCTATGCACCGTAGGTAAAATTGATAATAGTTTTCCAGGGGGGAAAAAAAAAAAAAAAAAAAAAAAAAAAAAAGGTAAAGAGGGAAGGTACTTTTTCTGACAGAAATTAGGTTGGCCTGATTTTGTGTATACATAGGCCTTAGATATTAGAATAATACTTGCTTCAGAAGTGAATGTTGTTGATAGCCAGCTGTCTACTTAGCTAGATGGTTTTGCCTAGGTAGGAACGCAAACTCATAGCCATATAGCAATTTCTACCACCTGCACAAAAAGCCAATTTGCCTTGGCATGAGTGAAGAAGGCCAAAAAATGTCTATTTTCACATATGCTTCAGATCTGAACTGCTTGCAAAATACAGGAGGTTTTGTGGCACAAAGTCAACTGAGTCTTGAAATTTCCATACATAGGCAATATACTGTATGTGAATGCAGTCCATTTTCCTATCTGTAGTTAGTATGTGTGGGGTTTCTAATTAAAGTCACTTCAGTTCTGTGCTCATCCTAGCCTTCATACCCCCAACAATTTGAAACAAGCTACTGGGTCACCTCTTGCAGTTGTATTCAAGGGCTGTTAAGTCAGATGAGTTTTAGTGGAAGCTCATCTCCTCCAGCAGTACAATTTCACTCTTACAATGGTGCTTCTCAGCCGAGTCAGTTAACCGAGCATTATACCACAGCTGGGTGTGTTGCTGTTTAGGAAAGGTTACCTGGCACCCAGCGCCCTGCCCATTCACACTTTGCTTCTGCTAGTCCCATCTCCATCCGTTCCCTCTTCACTGTAGACTGAATTTTGATACCTGCCCACATCAGAGTTGCCTTTCCCTGTATACACATGAGCAGATTTTTGGCCCTCTGTGATTGGAGTTGGAGTCTAATTCTATCTACTCGGAGTAAAGCTTGAACATCCATCATTGAGTAAGTATGCAAAACCCTAAATAAATAAAAAATCAAATACAGTATAAAACAACTCACTTTTAAATACCGCATGTGTGTGTGTGGTGTTTGTGTGTACATTACATATCTAAAACATGACTTTTTGAGCATCAGGCAGAGTCTGATCACATTTGCACTACACGCACATGCAGAGCGATTCCGCCGACGTCAGAGGACTTGCACCAGGATCAGTCTGACTCAATGGAGCAGATCCTCAGATGATGAAAACCACTCACACTCTTCTGACTTCAGCTGAGGATCTGGCCATCATCTCTCGACCTGCTACATGCTATTGGAGGGACAGCAGGTGATGAACCTAAATAGTGCTTTGTTGTTATTTTTTTCTTCACTGCTTTAAAGGAGGAGAGACATAGGAAAGAAAAACAAAGTCAATGAATCTGCAGGAGAAATGCATTTGAGATTTTGTGAGAAGGAGAAGCAGCTTCCAGCAGATATTTTATTGGATCCAGATGGCCACAAGAAAGGGAGCAAGTGAGATTGCGGCGCCATCTATTACAGCCATGTTTGTGCCGGGGAGAGAAGAGATGAAGGAAAAATACCGATCCCTCTCAGCTCTCCTTTCTCTAAGTTGTGGCTGGGTCTGTTTCCTTATAGAACAAGACAGCAAGCCCTTGCCTTGTCGACCTTCTGCATACAGTTAAGCGTGTTCCTCCAAACCCCGGTTGGAAACAAAGTACCTGCACAGAGCTCGCTGTCCTTACAAAGCTGTGCAGGGAGGAAAAGTGTCGATGTAAACTGTGAAGAGAGGTGCTCCCCCGGCACATGGCTCTCCGCTTGCACTTGCTCAGGCTCTGTTCCCCCCGGGAATCTGCTCTCCCCGAAATGCCCCGTCCCCGGCAGCGGTCCCAGGCGTCTCTCCCGCGGGGCAGTCGGCTCAAGCCGTCAGGAGGACTGCATCAGGCCCGTGAGGCGCTTGCTGGCCAGAGACTTACCCTAGAGGGAGGGACAGACAGACAGACAGACAGACAGAAGAGACCCGGAGGTGTGAGTGATGCTGTGGGATAGCTTGGCTGCGAGTGAGGGGAGCGGGGTGCATGGCTGCTCATCCCGGCCCTGCCCACAGGGATGCCCCCAGAATTTCAGGTGCCTGCAGCTTTGCCCCAGGCACGTGGTTTGGCAAAGCGTTGTGGCTAGCAACGTCCAGGTGGCTATCGTTCAAGGGCATGCTGTCTGGTGAAGATTTTTCCTTTCTCCAGTTACATGGGAACTGGTGAAAGCAAAGTCCTGCTGGTGCCAGGCCACCGCTCCCATGCAGAGCCCTGTCCCAGGCCGGGCAGGGCTGCAACCCTGAAGCTGCAGTGAAAGCTGGGACATCACTGCCTGTGAATCAGCATCTCCTGCACAGCGTACACCATTAACAGATCTAGGAAAAAAGTCCTTTCAGAACTAACTTAGCCTGTCCCTGCCCTCGTCCCCACTTCGTCCACTCCTTGGTCTCTTGTCTCCTCGGTCACTGCTTCCTTGCCCACTCCTGCCCGGCCTCCCTGCCTTCCCCACGCTCCCCTCCAGGCCACCACGCAGGTGCGTGGCTGTGGCAGCCTTGCTTGCACGCTGTGGGCACCCACGTGAGCTCTCCCACTGTCTGGCGGGACCAAGGACCAGGGAGAAGGTCACCTGCCCATCTGAATCCCTTTGCTGGCTTAGGCCACGCAGTCACTGCTTTCAGAAGCAAGGGAGGACCCACAGCTGGGCTTCTCCATTTGCAAGCAGTAGGAAGGGTATATCCCCACAGGGGATATTGATGGCTTTGCAATTACTGATGTAACAGTGAAAAATTGTTTCAGGTATTGCACCAGTTGCTGTGTTCCTTTGGTGAGTTTTCCTCTTGAAAAATGATGTTTTTCTTAAAAGAAAAAAAAAAAAAAAAGGCTTGATTGAAATAAACATCCAGGGAATACCAGAGAGCTGTGGAATACCTAGCAGCTCTTAAACAAACTCCCCTACGTTACTATATTTAGCCAAGATTTCCTTCGCAATAGGAAGTCTTACTAACTGCTGTTTGAAAGAGCCACAAAAAGAGCAAGAGAAACAGATTATACAGTGAAACCGAGTATGTGCAAAATGTAGGAAATTTTGAAATGTAAAATTTAGCAGGTTGTTTGAAATAAGCCTCGTTTAACAAGTTAACACCCTAACAAAAAAGGAACATCCACCCACCACCCCCCTTTAATTTCTAATCTCATCCCCTTTAGGGCTGTTCCAGGAGGATGTAACTGTTCCCTTACAGAAGTCTCATTTTGTTATTCAGATGTGCGCCTTTTACCAAATAATTTACTCAGCTGCACAAACACATACTGCCTAATCTGGCCACTTTCTGTACATCAGCAGTTGTCTGCTGGAAACCCTGTCGTCATTCGGACTGTCCTGCCCAGGATGAGAGCACCACAGTCACGCCTCGCACCCAGGTCACAGCTGGGGAAGGACCAGCTCCCTCCTGGAGCTCAGAAGAGATGCCAGCACCGCTGACATTTAAGGCATGCATGCTTTCTTATGCTATAAATCAAATTCTTGATTATTATTTTTTTTTTTAAATACATTTCTGGGAAGCTTGTCCCAGTATTTCCCCAGGAGGTGGCCAAGTCTTCTGCGGGGCAATACATCAGTGCTTGGGGGGCTGCAACCCCAGCTGTCATTTTGCTGCTGCTATGGAATACCAGAGAAAGAGAGCTAAGGAATTATCAGTTCCTGGATCCCATTTATAGGAAAAACATAAAGATGTGGATGTTAATTTCTGGAAGAATAACATGGCTGGTTTTAGGGAAAAAAAAAAAAGTTAGTTTCCACCTATATTTGGATACTTCCTCAGGAAAAAACCCATATAAGCTTTGGGTTTGTAAAATGACTATTCAGTGAGACTCTAATCTGCGACAGGCAGTTTCTCTTGTTATCTTCTCACAGGCAGGCGGCTTGGGGGTACGCCAGCTCCCTGCGTCAGGGTCCAGTGCGGGTGAGGAGCAAATGCTGGTCCACATCCAGCCCTGATATCAACATGCACGTGTTCAAAGTGGGAAGGGGGAAATGCCAGTGCTGGGCTGGGCCAAGGGGAGGGAGCAGCTGACAGAAAGGCTGCCTTGGAGAAGGTGGTGGGTCCGAAACGAAGCCAATGGCTGTGGTTTCCGCAGAGCAAATGCTCGCTCACGGGTTTCCCAATGGCAACTGCTTCCCGTCGCAGGCAAAGGCGGTGGGCTCCATCTGCAGCTCTCCCACCTCGCGGGAAAGGCGTTAGCCCAGGAACCCAGCTCCAACGGCTGGCTTTGCTGCAAACTTCCCGTCTGCAGGCTGGGATGAGTCCCCAGCGTGGAGCCTGGCTGCCCAGGAGGATAACGGCGCCAGGGAAGTGTGAGGTGCCGAACAGCCTCACGCACGGGGACATGCAAACAGATGGGTGTGAGAAGCTCTGTTTTAAGACAGCGAGAAGCAGGCAGTGATATTGTCTGCGCAGCTGTTGCGTCCACCTCTGTGATAAGACAGATGGCGAAAGGATCCCTGGAATCACACAGAGGGTGAAATTTTTGGCTACAAGCAAGGGTGCTGGGGTGTAAGCGAGTGTAATGTTCAGCTTTGGTACTTTACAGTGCCCCCCAACTACAGGAATACTGATGTAGGGGATTTTGTTTCAATTCAATGCAGAGACAAGCATCAGCCTCTGAGCAATACGAATAACTGCAGGCTGGGGGTGGATGGGATGCAGGCATCTGATTTGGGATTCTCTCATCTTAAACATCCTCATTAAAATAAAGAGGAACAGGAAAAATCTGCATTTCATTAGGAAAACTGGTATCTGCTTCCTGTTACTAAAATAAACAATAAGGGAGCAAAATGTTGTGTCACAGGTGGAAACGCTGGATCCACTTGCTAAAGTAAATCAATATGACTCAGTTGCTTTCACAGAACTGCTGCTGATTTACACCAGCTGAGGGGCTGGTCCATGGGCATCTGTTTCAGGTTTAGCCCTCCAGGGCTTCTTAGGCACGGAGTCCAGGTTTGTGCTAGCCGACTGATGAAAGCCAAAGCACAGCACATGTGACAGCTCCTTTGGGATGGCACAGCAGCTCACTGCCAGCCTGCCCGACCCCTCCCCAGGACCCCCAGCCTGTCAGGCCAAACCCACCCGGCCCTGCTCGCCAGGAGGGCATCCATGGCCAGACACTCTGGGATGGCACCAGCGGGCCTTAGTGTCATCGTGGTCCTGCGTCAGAAAAGAGGCGTTTGGGTGACCAGGAGAGGGTGGCCTGTGTTTGCCTTGAGACAGCAGAGGTGAGGCGCACCCCTCAATTTCTTGCAGTCCTGCGACCCTTCCCCTGAGGCTTGTGGGGCATGAGTGCCTGGCTCAGTCAGGTGAAAGGCTTCTCTGAGAAGTTGGAGGTGGCTAAATCGGGTCGTAGTTGGGTACAATACATGCCCAAAAAGTTCAGGCCCAAGAAGTCATGTTGGGTCTTACCTGACACTCAGCTGGAATACCCTTGGGGAGATCTTTGAGTGAGGAATTTTAGGATTATTACAATGTGGAAATCTGGCATAAAGAACAACTAGTTTCTGTAAAAAGGTTCAACCAAAATGAATTTTCTCCTTCCACGTGTCTTCATTTAGCATGAAACCAGTGAGTGCCCCCACATTTCTACCTATTCTTTTCCCACTGAAGGAAAATGTCCACAAGTCCTGCTTTATTTCCAGGAAAAATTTCATCTAAGCTGTGCTGACAGGGAATTTGGAAAGCTTATGATTTCAAGCTCAGCATGACTATAGTGCTTCTTCTACTCTGTCATATGCATATGCTGAATAACTTAAGGCAAGATTAGAGTGGATGTAAGGAATAAACTTTTTACATGAGGTTTAAAGCTTATAAAGAAATTCCCAGTCCTCCAGTTGCAAAATATTTGTCACTATTAATTAGGGTTACGACAATTAAAAACCCAGACTGTTGTTGCCCAAACAGCATAGCACAAGCAGTAGGGCATATGTTGTAGGGCATATGTTGTGTGTCTCGGATGCAGGAAGGCTTTCTTTTCTCTCATTCCCTGCAAGCAGCTGAGCTGTAACACAGCTTTCAGGCAAGGATCACTTGCGGCTTCACCGTGTCTTGCTAAAGGTAATGTCCAGTTCTCTCCATGCAGCTGAATGAATTTTTTTTTTTATACCCCTGAACACTGGCGTGACAGGAGCCTCAGTTTTTAGAAGTGGTGTAAAAATCTGAATTTGGAGTAACCCAAGGAAAATGTCAGGGAATTCTTAATAAACCTTATGAAACTGCCCCCCAGAATCTGAATTCCATGTACTTGGCCCATCCTACTGCTTGGCTGCACGTCAGGCAGAGGACCAGACCTCGGCACTTGTGGACCATCAAGGGCTCTCACTGAGGCTCAGTGAAGTGAAGATTAACCTGTAGGTCACGGGAGATGCTTAGCATCTTTGATGGCTGAGCCTTTGCTGAGCAGCTACTAAACTAAAGTGTAAAATGCAATTAGCAATTATTTTAACGAAGCAGAATTCAGCAATTTAACGTAGGCAAGAAGCCAAGTAAGAGAGAAAAGAAATATGTCTGGGATTTGACATGAAAAGGAGACAGCACTCCTTCTAAACCTCCTGTATGAGCCACCAGAGTTTCCATCTTGCTCTTTGCTTATATCTACCAAAACCAGCACTTTGCACAGTTGGGAGAGAGGGCAAAGGCTACGAACTATCTGTTTTAAACAATTTTAAACAGAACGTTTAGTTGGATTCAGTACCTGTGGTTTCACACAACGCTAACGTGCTCTGCCCAGCAGAGAGTGCACTTCGTGTTATCTAGCATGCAGACATTCACCACCAGCATGCACGAGCCAGCATTCCCATGCATGTTGCCAACAACCTACCTGAACACCCAGGCAGGATTTATCCCCTGTGGAGCTTTGTGGCTACAGCAATGGGGGACAGGAGCCATGTGGGGAGCTTCT